AAAATTCCCTGCAGTCCCTCAGTCCTACATCCCAGTCTCTTTGTGCTGCTTTGCTCTTTAATAATGGCTTCTTTTCTTTAAGAAAAAAAAAGGACAAGACAAATTGTCTAGCCACAAGAATTTGAGCAATGCTTTTAATCTGAGTGAAGAAATGTACTGCACTGCTTGGCTGCCTTTAAAGTCTATTATTGCAATATGTCAGCAAAAGGTGTACTTGTAGAAGGGAGAGCTGTAGCTTAATGTAACTACACCATAAAGTTATTTATCCCTGCTGTGCTTGATTTACAATCCTCAATAACTTCCTTGATTTTTTTTTTTTCTGCTAAGAAACCTTGAGGTTGTGCCTGCAGAGGTGGAAGCAGGGGGTGATTCACTGCTCCTCACCCCTGCCCTTGTCTCTCAGCCAGACAAGCTGGTCAATGATTAATTTTAATTCTTCTCTAAATAACATGAGGTTTAAGAAAAATGAAATTTCACTGCACCTTTTAATCTGAAATGTACTGAGCAACACAAGCTTTTCTTGAATGGAAATAAACATTTTCACCCTAAGGACTGGTGACATCTTGATGCTCTTTTTGCACAGATCAAGAGCCTGACATGGGCCTGCCTCTCCCCCACTGGTCTCCAGCTGTGTCCTTCCTCCCTTAGCCCAAGGTACTCTGCTTTACAGGACCCCCACATCACTGATGGGATCTTGTGTGCACATCTCTGTCAGACCACATAAGTGGGTTGGGGAGTAGATTCCATAAATCCATGCAGAAGGACAGGGACTCTGATCATCTTTCATTTCCCATCAGGGGAGACAGTACCATGGTGCTCTGGGACCCAGCCCAGCCCTGGGCTCTGACAGACTGGTGGGAGCAAAGGGGATCAAAAAGTGTTTCCCATTAATTCCTGGAGTCCTCAGTTTCCTTGACACACCAAAACGTGCATCTTGTGGTTCACAGCCTATACAAGGAACTTGATACATGCCTTGGTAAGGCCCGAAAGTTTGGATATTCCTGGGTGCACACATTTTCTTATTACACATTTGGGAGGGTCTGTGCACCCTCTCAGTGAAAACAGCTCTGCACACAGATATAAACCCATGTATTGGAAAGCAGGGAGACAGATGGCCTCTATTACTCCATGTAACCAAAAACAGGACGCAGATGATCTGAAGCAATTAGAAGAGGAGTTTTCCTATCTGAGAGTTTTAAAGATATTTCATTCATCATATGCTTAGTGGCACGGCTCTAGCTCCAAGGACCTATCTGAGGCAGAGATTCTAAAATATTAATAATAAAGCTTTTCTGTTCACTGTAATATTATGATTGTAAAGTGTTAGCTTGCATGAGCCCTTGACACCAAAAGCAACTGATATGCATCACCCCAAATGCTGTGAGTTTCCCTTTTTCAGGGGAGTCATGAGAGTGTTTCTCCACTTCCTTCATGCCAAACCCACCATAATTTTTAGGAACAGTTCAGCAAACACTTATCTGGGACACTGCTTTCCAATGACCTTTCCCAGCTCACCTTGGCCCAGCGGCAATGGAGCAGCGAAGGCTCCTGTTTTCAGGCCTACTTGTGTGGGAGGAATTGGCCTGTTCCAAGGAAGCTAGGAGAATGTTTGTTTGGCAAGTGTGTGTGTGCTGGCTTTGCCCCATCCACTGAGGCTGCTCAGCTCTCTGGAATGCTCCTTGCCTGCATCGAGGGGATTACTGGGCAGGTGGAAGGCTTTTATCCTATAAACACAGCTGATCATATGGAGCAACAACTTCTCAGCAACACCTATAAGACAAAGGGATGAAGTGGGAAGAGATCATCTGAAAGAGGGACCTAGAGAATAAGAATCCTTAAATCCATATTTAGTTCTTGAGCTGATTTTCTCATACGTGTTGCTTCTGTGTAACTCCTCCTATGCAGCAGAAGCCGCTGTGAAAAGAAAACCAGTGTATGTGCACACCATGTATCATAAATCACTTCATCATACACTGAAGCATGGCCAGTCCGGGGTGAAAACCAGGCAGATGTTTAACATGCCATGGCACAGCAGCTCCCCAGAGCAGATTTCAGTGGGGCAGGAACACCACAAAACTGCAAAGATTGAGTTAGGCGAGATGTAATTACCAAACCTGGACTATGTCCAGGACACTGGGGAAAACCCTCCTGCCTCTGCAAATTTGATTTTAACAACTTTAATTTTAAACACCTGATAGTCATATTTCTTGCCAAGTTAACAGATTGCTGAGAGAGGCAGCATTTCCTAAATAGAAAAAAATCCTTAGAAATTAAGAAAAGAAAGAAAAAAACCAACAAGAGTTTCATCCTATAAGATTTGTGACACCTCAGTGGGAAACCATGAAATATCCAGTGCAAAACCATATTTTCTGGGTTGTAGGTCAGCTTAACTCATAGCACCCTACAGCTCAGGCCAATATTTTCTGCATGGAAGTGATGAATTGTAGAAAGTGAAATTGCATAGGGGCATCAGCAGAGGGAATCCAGGTCAGAGCAGTACAGGAAAAAACCAAGAAGAACCTGCCTAAAATAAGAAGAAAACTCAGCTTATTTTGCTGTTGAAACATATTTGTGCACCAGCATTTATTGGTGACAATGCAAATATGCACCACTGACAACCAAATGGTTTGACACACCAGGTTGCTTTTGTGGAATTCAACTATATCTACAGCCCTGCAACAAAACAAGCAAAGTAAAATGAACACCTGAAAGAAAACTTCTTGTATAACACACATTCTCAGGATGTCAGGAGGAACACTGCTGACCTTGGATACCCCTGAGATTTGCCACGTGAGCAGAGCAAATCAGTTCTCACACCAATTTGCAAGCTTTGGAATAAGCAAGTCCTGACCCGGTTTTAGCACAGGGGGATGGAGTAGGTGATTTTCTGGGTTCTCTTCCAGCCAGAAATTTCTGTGATATTAGGGCTCACTCCCAAAACCTATAAACCAGGTTCCAAAAGATAATGGAAAAATAATAAAGCATCTACTACTACAAGCTGTTAGGTGCTGCAGGAAGCCAATGATACCCTGCAGAAGGGTGCCCCATAATAGTTTGCAGACGAGTGGCTGTAAGTAGAAGAAGCTGTACTTGCATCACCCTGAAGTAACAAGAAGCACATGGAGAATCTATTTTCCTGGCTTTTTCACCCAAGTGAAACAACTTTCCCCAGTTGCTGCTGAAAGGAATTTAATGAAATAATCTATATGCGAGATTATTTCCATGTTTGCACAAAACATGAAACAAGTGTTTGGGACTTGCTCTGTCCCATTTTCAGGCTCTGGTTGTGTTGCACATGGGACACATTTATCTCAGATGGAAAAAATCTGCAGCATTGATTTCCCTGGTGCATGTGCTGCTCACACTAGGATGGTAGATACCACTCTAAGAGCAGAGCCTGAGCTGTGGCTGCTGAGCATGTGGCCCTGAGTCACACAGGAGCGTCAGTTCCCAAAGGGGAAGAGGAGGGCTCAGGCAGGTGCAGCTGTAGCTGTGTGCCAGCCTGCTGAGCATCCTCCTGCTGTGCAATCCTCGCACCAGACCTTCCACCAGCGCTGCCACCCTGTCCTGAACACCCCGAGTCTGAACTGAGCCACTGTGAGAAAGTGCCACTTGGGGGTTTAGGGACTGGCCACAAAGCCCTGCAGCCAACCAAAGTCAGGGGTCAGCCCTCAACAGCTTTAGGGCTTTTATGCCCAGCTCATATCACCCCATCCAGAAAGTAATTCAGGCAATTAACCCTGCTACAACCCCAAAAGGTGCACAGTGTCATTGGTCTGCTCTAAAATTGCAAACACATGGAAAAACAGTGGTGCAATTTTTCTTAATTAGAGAAAATGACCACACTTGAGGAAAAAAAAAAAGATTACACTGTTCTAATCACAATGAATGAATATACAAAAAGCCCAGCTGCACATCTTCATGCTACATCCAAATAGTTTGAAAAGCTTGTAACAGACTGGCCTAGCCCAGGAAGTCTGTTCAGAAACAGACTGAAATAACTGCCTTGTGCTATTTGGGGGGAACCCAACTAACTCCTTTATTTATGCCTAAACACGCATAGCTTTTAATGGGAAAAAAAGAAACACAGTAAACTCTCGTGATGTTGCCTATAATGTATTGCTTCCACCACTTCTCCTGCACACACCTGACACACACACATGCACACACACAAGCATGTTAATTTTTACTGCTGAGGAGAAGCCTGAGTCTGTTTAGATTTGAGACAAAAGCAGCAGTTTATCACCTCATGTCGTTCTGAAACCCTGACATTTACAAAGCTCTTTCCAAACCAGTTCATTAAACACTGCATGTGTCTTAAGGCCATACGCAGAAGTATAATTTAGAGTGTATATTTTATAGGTTTCTTTTTCTGGTTTACCCACTGATTATTACGTGCTGTAAAATTTCAATTATCCCAACCAGTCAGGGGAATAAAAAAGGGAAAGAAAAGTAGGTGATGGAAAAGTGTGTGTTAACAAATGCCATAGAAAAGAAGCCAATGTGATACGCAGATTTCAGTGTTATTAATGTCCCTTTCTCTTCTCACAGACAGACTAGCAGTATGAATAAAAAGCACAAAATGACCACTAAATAATCTGTCTCATTCTTACATGCAGCAGATACTTCAAACCACTGTGGACAAATCCATGGGTGAAATTTGTCTTAGCTTTCCCAGTGCAAACTCACAGAGGAACAGTACAGCCCAAATTAAGGGCTGAATTTGGCCCAGCTAGTAAAAGGAAAGACTTGAAAGAGACGAGAATATGCCTGCACATTTTCCACATAACCTGTAAGTCAAACAACCCAATTCTTGAGTGTATGTCTGCCCTCTCTGTACGTGGGGCAGATGTACAGGGCTAAAATGGCTACTGATATAAAGAAAAATGTTCCCAAATAATTTCACCTTTGTCCATTTACATAATTTACAGTGACACCCAATGTCCTTAAGAGCTGCAAACACAAAATGCTGTACCTGAAAAATAAAAAATCACAGAAAGGGCTGGGAAATTTTTATTCAGTGTGCCAGACCCATAAAGCTGAGATGGTGAAACTTAGTAAGTTGTCCCTGCTAAATGCAAAATAGAGGGTATGTAAACACATGACAATATGAAAGGTCTCAACTGTATAGTGACTTGTCCAAGTAATTTATTACACATATGCAGTTGATTTAACTGGGTACCACTTTCTCATGAATGATGATTTTTAATGCATATTCAGCTGGTAGTTGTAGGCAATTTCTATAGTGTCCAAACTTGTTAAGGCAAACAATTTCTCACCAAAGGGATTCCAGCTGATTAGGCCTGACCCCATTCCCATGTGTGTATTTTCTGTTGTCCTTGCTGCTGTCAGGATCACACCTCTGTGGGATGCCCCTAAGTGTCCACAGCCTGCACACCTGATTTTTGAAGGCTGGGGAAGCTTGGCAGATGTTTTCAATCTCTCCTTGCTTTCAAGAAGTTGACTTCTTTGCAACAGTTTACATATTCATTCTGACTTGCTTCTTTGCTGAGCAGTAACCTGGAAAATGCACAAACAGAATTAGGGTAGGACACCGAAAACAGCTGCTTTTCAAGAAATCTCTCAAATCTCGTGTTCATGTCGAAGAAATAATTTTGACTTCTCTAGAGCTCCTGAATGAACAAAACAGATACCTTTAGCATGTCCCACATAAAGTTATGCAATACCAAGCAAAACAAAGGAAATGTGCTGGCCTTTATCCAGTCGAGATCAAAAGCCTTTGGACACTCTTATGCAAGATGAGCAATGCAACATTTCACTCCAGTGCTGAGACCCACTGCTGCAGTGCTTTCCTGGCAGAAATGGGGCTGGGGGCTTTTTCCTCCTTGAAAGTAACAAAAAATATGCTGTAAAACAATATCAGAAGAACTAGGTATATGTGGCACTTTATTTCTGCTTATTAGGTCAAACTGCAAATTCAAAGGCTGCATAGAAGCTTCCTCTATCATGGAGTTATAACTAATTCCTTGCTCACAGACTATGAACTGTGGCTCATGGGGAGAACATCCTCTGCGTTTTCATCTGTATGTGCATCTGAATCTTTGTTTCAGGTGCAAACTTAAGTCATCTTTAACTACAGAAATGTGATTATAACAGGAGTTATAACCCTGTGAGTTCCTTCTCTGCTTCCCAGTCTTGCACAAAAAAAACCCTGCAACATACTTTTTTCAGGTCATAGGGCAAAATTAGCTGAAATGGAAGGTAGGTGAGTATTTATCTTTAGAGTTCATGGAGTTTACCTGGTATAAATTGTTTTTATTCATAGCAATGCATTTGCTTCAATTTCAGTTCAGGATGATATTTAAACCTGAGCTTTCTACACTGTCAAATTGTCAACAGCTATCAGGTCCTCTCAGCATGAAGTCTTGCATTCATTTCAAAGCAGAACATTAGTGGCAGCATGACTGGAATTCTGTAGGCTTTAACTGCCAAGTTTGTGCAGAGAGATTCCTGCAGCAAACTTCCTTCAGCAGGTGTCTGCATGGCACAGTGGTAGCTGAACTAGCCCTAAGTCAAATTTCTGGAGCAGGATGTGATCCCAAGGAGAATTCTTGTTAACTTGGTAAAAAAGCTAATCCTGCTATTACCATAACCCTCTGTAGCCTCTTGGTGGAGCAGGAAGAAAAAAAATCTAAATATCCAAATGTGATCCTTACTATTTATTTATTCCATTTAAAAGGCTATATCTAACCTTCATTTTGTTTTGGGGGAGGAAATGCATTAAGAATTATGCTTAGCAGATGAAATTCAGAAAAGACTGAAAGAGTTAGTATTCTCATTTCTGCCAGTGAAGAATCTTAGCAAGATCCCAACAGCTCAGGTGCCCACAGGAGGAAGCCTGATTTCAAAACTGAGCAGCCAGGAGGATGCAGGTTCCCCAGAGCCATGTTTGGATGGTGTAGCCTCCATCTAGAATACCACACAGAGTCCATGGGAATTGGCTGGTTTGCCTAAGGAACCCCAAAGAATACTTGCACTGGCATAAATAAGTGAAGGTGCTGCAGCCTGTCAGAAGGAAAGCCTGGCTAGAGAGACCCAGGAGGGAAAGCTTTCTGTTGTTCAAATAAACCTGCCCAAATAGCTGCTTTTCTTTCTCCCCAGCCATCTTGCATGGACTCCCTGCTTCACAAGTAAGACAGCCTAATGAAAACACAGGACTTTTATCAAATTTCATTTTGACTTTTAGCAGAGGAGGCAAGGATTTATGAATATCTCCCAGGAGGGCCAAGGTCTAAATGTAACAGCCAGAGACAAGCCACAAACATTGGAAGAGAAGAGCTGGCATGGAGCACCAACCTTGTTAGTGTTAGGGGAAAAAAAGGAAAAAGGGAAAAAAGGAAAAGGGAGAAAAGGAAAAAAGCCTGCATTTGACCCGCTTTTTGAATTTGAGACCATCCTAGAAAACAGAGCAGAACCGTCCTGGGTCCACATCAAAAAGGAGCAAAATGGAACTGGAATGCATCTATATAAGAGGATTGGGAAGTAGAAGGAAAAGCCTACTTTTGTACTGGTTGTCTCTCTGCATGACTGAGGAGTCAAAAGCAGCAGTAAAAACTGCTTGTTCCATTCTGGAGGCTCCAATGTCCACAAAACCCCATGGCTGCGTTCTAATATATTGATATTTATTTATTACTGCCTTTGGTAGCCTAAATTAAAAACACATTGTTGGATGTCAATATAATGCATTACAATGTTCTTGTTGACCAGAGCAGAACACAGATAACCAGGATCAAATCCAGCCTCAGGTCCTAATCCCAAAGCAACCTTCCCTTATGGGATGGCAGAAGGTGAGCAAAGGGGTGGAAGCATGGGGTCAGATGCTGTCTGTAGATGTGATTTTCCCTGGTCCAGTCATGGCCAGAGGGACAGGGTGACACCAGAGGGAAACATCTAATGGCCTCCTTTAGCCGGCAGTGAGAAGGATCTGTGCCTTGTGAGAGAGAAGGATTAAGAGGCTTCATCTCCAAAAAAGAAGGCTGCAAATTATTTTCCTGGCCCATCTTGCACACCTACATTCCTTGGGGACAAAAGGACTGGTTACTAGACTAAAGAGCTTTCTCTTAAGAAAACACGTGAGAAAGTGTTAAAGTGTGCAGTGTGATATTTTGGTTTCTCCATCCCCTGATGAAATGTTTCTTGCCTGGGGAAAATGGAGTGGAAGAAAAATATCCCTTGGAAATATCTGCATAATTTACTCCCACACACCTAGTGAGAGATTTACAATTGAACAGCAGTTCCCCTGAAACTATCACCACATTGTGCTCTGAATTACACTTTTGTACTCCTACCTGCAAATTATACTGTTAATTAGTTAATGGTTGTAAAGTGCTTTGGAGAAGAAAAGAGCACTCATTAAATACCATTGTTCTGCTTTCCAGTGTGCAATGTTCCACTCTTCATTAATCTCCAACCTCTTCCCCAACCTCTTGCTTCATGTTCTCAAGTAGCAAATTAGTCTGAGATATACATCACGGCTCAGAATGTGTTTCCTGAAACTTTAGTTTCATTTTATTCTGGTGTCTTACATGAAATTCCCAAATGAAAATCATTGATATATGTCTTGAAAACCTCCCTTTAGATAAACTAAAACTTGCTTTCCTTTTCTTGTCCTTTCCTATAGACAAGGGAAATCTAATATATGGATTTCAAAGAAGTTCAAACCCCGCTGAGAAGAGCAAAGTCCAGTTGCTCAGAAGAGCTGAGCGTGCAGAATACTGGGAACTAAAGCTTTTTTCATAGTGCTGAAACCCACTCCTTGCAGCACACCCTGGTGAGAGGCATTTGAAAACTTAGCCCCTTCTGCCGCCCAGCAAAATTTAAGATCGATTTCTCCTTAAAATTCCTGGATGCCTTCACTGAGTATAATATCCAAGCTGAAGGAAGTTATCAGGAGACCTGACTGCTTTCTCTAGTTTCTGCTTTTGATGGCTGATCTGTGCTACTTGCTGTACTTGGGAAAAGATACCCATAGCCAAACCTACAGGCAAGAAAAAAGCCAAAAAGGAAGTGAGAAATGTCCTTTAAGAGCAGCAAAAGACAGACAGCACAGAAATCCTACCTGGAGAAAACAACCATGACTATCACGTTAAACAAGGGAAAGGGCCTGAAAAAAAAATACTTCCATGACAACAAAGTCGGATGGTCACCAGTAAAGAGAGTTTTAATTTACAATTGAGGTGGTATCTCTGTTCTGACTGCTTTTACCACAATTTATTTTGCTGTGTGAGCCAAGATGGAAGTTGAAGATGATCTGGGCAGTCACCTGATTCTTGTCTGGTACTTTCATCCTCTTTTATTTTAAGCAGTTCTTGCCTGAGAATTGGTCACAGTCAACTGCCTTTCCTACAATGGCAAATCCCATGCAAACAACCAGTAGGTGGATTTCCTATTTCCCAGAGGCTGCCGTGAGGACAGAAGAGATGAAGCTTTTACCTCCTCTGGCAGGTAAGGTGGGGACATGGCAAGACAGAGAAAATACAGTCATTTTGCAGGTCTCATAGAACAGAAAGGCATAAATATACCAAAGACATTCACATACTAATTCCTGCTCCAGGTCTTCAGTTTCTGCAAGAGCTCAAAAATATTTCTTAAAGGTCATTAAATTCTTTCTCTCTCTTTGGATCCACAAAATTCAGCCCCTGCTCACAAGGAGTGGATAGTCTGAAAAAAAGAGAAATCTCAGAGAAATATTATCAAACAGCCAAATTACAGATTTGTTGTGCTACTGAATTCTAAAGGGCATAAAGAGTCTGGGAACAGAGCTGAGAGCTATTAACTGGTGATTTGTTTCCAGACCATGCAGTCAGGCAGGGTTCCAGCAGAACCTGAAGCTTCATCTTTGTTCTTCAAAAGGTGCTGCAGCCACAGCGAACACAAATCCAAGCGTGGCTGGAATAATCACCACCTCATGTTATCTTTGCAGGGCTGTATCTCGTCTGCCTGAGCTCTGTAAGGGCATACCCTTACAATCACACACCAAGTGCCTACTCTGAGAATGTCTCTCAGTGGTTTTGGTATCATGAGCTTGTCAGGGACAGGGCAGTGTTGGCACTTAAATGGTTCTGCACAGAAAACTGCCACAGAAAACTCAGATACTGAGGGATGGGGCTCCTGCCCCTAGGTGGAAGCCAAGTGTCAGTTCTGCAGCTGATGCACACCTAGGTAGGAGGTCCAAAGAGGTGGACTGGTTCCTGCATCATTTAGAAATCGAATTCCCTGCCCTTAGTGGCTCTGAACCAGCATCCTGCAAACACATGGACCACAGGAAATTCAGAGAGGGTCAGATGCGGCTCTCCTGGTACAAGGGCTGATTTTCAAATATTACTTGTGGTTCTCTGGAGGCAGCTGGAGTCCTAGGTAGGAAAAGAGAGTGTGAGACACCATCTGGGACTGATCATGAGGTGTGATGGGACTGCCGTGGCTTCTGGGCCCCAGACAGGTCCCACTGATTTCTGCATCCTTTTGTGTGGTTCCACCTGCTCATCCAGCCCGTGGATGCT